TAGCACTTTACCAAGGGCTACAAAGTGAGACTCTTACAATAAAAAAAACAAAAACAAACCTTCAAACTGAGACCACTGAAAGTCAAATTAAAAAAAAAACAAAAAAACCCAGGAACATATTTAGTGAAGAAGTTAAAAAATCTCTATAAGGAAAATCACAAAACACTGGTGAAAGAAATTATAGATGGCACAAACAGAAAAACATCCCATGCTTGTGGATTGAAAGGCTTAATATCATTTGAACTCTTCCACCTGAAATGGGTGCTAACTGGGACAACTGATTTGGACCCCTTAAACCTGGCAGACCATCTAAGGACTATTCAAAGGGGTACCCCGGGTATATGGTTGAGGGAAAGTTTGAACTATATAAAACTGTATATATTCTCCACCTGCAACACTGAACTCTGAGGAGTCACCACCCACTCACTCCAAGGTTTGGAGGTAAAGAGTCCAGATTCTTGGGCATCTCCTTGAGAGAAGTGGAGGGGGAAAGGGCTGGTGCTGTTCTGTGCTGACTGTGGCACAGGCGTGAGGAGAGGAAGATTGGCTCAGAGGACGCCAATACAGCCAACAGTGGCATCCTGAGCTGCAGACTGATGTCATTCCAGCCCCGTCTCTCTGGGCAAGCAGAGGTTCCAGACAGCAGCCATGGGCAAGACGCAGATAACCTTCATAAGTAAAGCACCAGCCCTCAGGGTCTAATACTGCTGAGACAAAGGCAGTGGGTGGGCAGAGGCTAGAATTGACACCTGAGTGTAAACTGCTATTTGTCTGCTGCCCAGGGCTGAATGCAACCTATGACTAGCAGAGAAATCTAGCCGGACAAAAGTCTAATTTAAACACACAAGGCCCCCCTGCCGAACTCAGATTTCTGGCTGATTTTGCCAGTCGTAAACCCTGGGAGCAAGAGCAGTGGCCTACGGGAGTGAATAGGGTCACAGACCTGGGGGATTACGAATGACTGGGTGCAAGGTGGGGAAGGAGGTTTTAACCTTCCCAGACTAACCCATTTGCAGGGTGGGCCCAAAACTGCTTACTAGAGTCCCACGCCTCACGGGAGGCAGAGGAGATCCCTGCCCCAGGCTCCTGCTCTGGGCAGGCCCAGAACTGCCTGCTAGTGCCCCTGGCGTCCCAGGCTGTGGCGGAGTTCTCTGTTCCAGGTAGACCCAAAACAGCTTGCTAGAGACACGCACACCCCATGGGGGGCCAGGGGAAAAGTTCCTCACTCTAGGCACCCAAGCTGGGTGGGCCTAGAACTGTTTGCTAGAGCCACGTACGTCCCACAGACAGAGGTGGAGGAGTTCCCCACTTGGGCTCCCACACTGGGAGGGCACAGATTGGCTTCCTAGAGCCGTATGCATCCAACGGGTGATGGTGAAGGAGTCCTCCTTCCCACACACTACTCTAGTGGGGCTGAACTAGGACTGATCTGGTCGCTAGCGTACCCTGCGCTACCGCTGCCATTACCCCACCCCCTGGCTGCTCCAGGGGTGTTGAACTAGGACTGATCTAGCTACTACCGTTCCCCTGTTCCACCAGTTACCCCGGAGGGGCCAAACTAGGACTGATCCGGCTGCTGCCGGTCTCCTGCTCCCTGGTCGCCCCGGCAGGCTGAATGAGGTCTAATCCGGCCACACACACTCCTGTGCAGCTGCTGCTGTTCCACTGCACCCTGGTTGCCCCAGCACCTGAGAACTGGGAGAAGACAACAGACATGCTCTGCCTGTCTCTCTGGGCAACCAGAAGAAGCCACGAACTGAATGGTTTTGATAAGGCTTCCAAACAAGGTCAACTCAGCATGGGGCAGAATCAGCGGAAAAAGTCTGGCAACTCGAATAACCAGAGTAGATCAACTCCTCCAGGGGAAAATGGGGCAGACACAATTGAAGACCCCATCCACAAGCAAATGGCTGGGATGTCAGAAATTGAGTTCAGAATGTGGATAGCAAATAAGATTAACAGAATGGAAGAAAGGAAGGAATTAGGAGTTCAAGAAATTCAAAAGATA